CAAAGACTATGATTTGAACATTCAGTATCATCCGGGAAGAGCCAATACTGTTGCTGATGCTTTGAGTAGAAAACTGCCTACGAAGTTAAATAATTTGCTAACTCAACAAGAAAAGCTGATTGAAGAGATGGATATGTTGGAGTTATCAGTGGTACTTCCTACATCTGGAAATATAGAATGGTTGAGACAGTTGACTGTGCAAACTGATTTGAGGAAATCATACAGTTAGTAAAGGTTGGGCATGAAGAAGATTTTATTCTTGATGAAGACAATATCCTTTGGTATAAAGGCAAGGTCTGTGTACCAAATGTTGATGATTTGAGGAAGGATGTTCTATCTGAAGCTCATTTCTCTGCTTATACTATCCACCCTGGTAGTACTAAGAAGTATCAAGACCTTAAGGGTCTATTTTGGTGGCCCGAATTGAAGAGGAGTGTAGCTGATTTTGTTGCCAAGTGCACTGCATGTCAGTTGGAAAAGGCTGAACATCAAAGGCCAAGTGGATTACTTCAACCCTTACCGATTCTAGAGTGGAAGTGGGATGATATCGCTATGGATTTCGTGTCAGGTTTACCTCGATCACGACAGGGTCATGATGCTATTTGGGTTGTCATTGATAGGCTTACAAAGTCTGCTCACTTTTTGCCTATCTGATTGACTGATTCAGTTGAGAAGCTCGCAATGTTGTATGTGGCTGAGATTGTACGATTACATGGCGTGCCTAAGTCCATAGTATCTGACCGAGATGGTAGATTTACTTCTAGACTTTAGAGGAAAGTACAAGAGGCTATGGGCACTAGATTGACATTCAGTAAGTCTTCCATCCTCAGACTAACAGACAAACAGAGAGGACTATTCAAACTCTTGAAGACTTATTGAGATTATGTATTCTTGATTTTGGTGGAGGTTGGGAATCTCATATCCCTTTGATAGAGTTTGCTTACAACAATAATTTTCAAGCCAGCATAGGAATGGCGCTTTATGAAGCCCTCTATGGAAGGAAATGCAGAACACCTCTTTGTTGGACAGAGACAGGTGAGAGGAAGGTAATTGGATCAGATCTTGTTGATGATGCCACAAGAAAAATCAAATTTATCAGGGATAGATTACTAGCAGTTCAAGATAGACAGAAGAAGTATTATGATGTTAAGCACCGATTAATGTAATTCAGTGTGGGAGACTTTGTTTTTATAAAGATTAGACCTATGAAGGGTGTACTTCGTTTTAGCAAGGTTGGCAAACTTAGTCCTCGCTACATTGATCTTTTTGAGATAGTGGAAAGGATTGGGAAGGTGGCCTATAGATTAGATTTACCTACTGCATATGCTGTCCACAATGTGTTCCATGTTTCTTCACTGAGGAAGTATATATCGGATGATCCTTTAAGATCATATCGGAAGATGTGGACTTACAGCCAGATCTTACATATGTTGAAGAACCGGATCGTATTCTGGAGTATAGTGTTAAGCAACTTACAAGCAGGGAGATACCGTTCATGAAAGTACTAAGGAAGTATGGATTGAAAAAAATTGCCACGTGGGAGAAAGAGTCAGAAATGAGGAAGTGTTATCCTCATCTTTTTGAGTAAGGTATGATTGTTTGTTTTTCCTTTCTTTAAATTTCGTGGACGAAATTTTTATTAGGAGGGGAGGATTGTAAAACCCAAAAATTCGTCATTTAAGTGCGTTGCACGCATTTCAATGCGCCGCGACGAACTTAAGTGAAATTTCGATGCCGTCGAAATTCAACGAAATAAATTTTATTAAATTCGTCACGAAATTTCGATCGAAACGGTATATAGAACTTGTAGTTAATTTCGCACGGTTTGGGAGTTAAAATTCGTCGAAGTCCGTTTAAGTAACATTTGGCATTTTCTACCCATTTTGCCCTTCATGAATTAAAAGAAAAATTATAGAGATAAGGGCACATGCGTAAAATCCATTCCTTAAGTCCTCATAAGCCCTAAGGGACCGAAATATTCGGTCCCTTGTGTTTGATCGGCCGACCCAACGAAGAGGGCGACGAGAGAGAGAGGGGAGGCGACGGGAGGCTCCTCTTGGCCGGCGAACGGCGAGTTTTTTCGATGTGATTTTGGAAGGAAAATGTCGGGGAGGCCTAGGGAAGAAGAGAGGTAAGCTTCTTACGCAAGAAAAATGAAAATTTTCTTGAGATTTTTTCATAGAAAATATTAGGGTTTGTGTTTTTTTTAGAAATTTTTTTAGGAAACCTTTAGGGTTTGATTTGATCTAGGTTTTTCTACCCTACATGTCAATTTTTTTTAAGCAAAATACTAAATCCGAAATTTAGGGTTTCTCTTTTTGATGAAATTTTTATGGGAATGACTAGAAGAGCTTAAGGGAAGACTTTTGGTATAAAAAATGTAAGTTTTCCTTAAGCAATTTTGAGTTTAAAAATTTGGGGAAAGTTTAGGGTTTTTCCAAATTTAACTTTTGAAGATTGCATATTCTCTAAATGTGTTCCTAAGGGCTTAGGGAAGCTTCTAACTGAGAAATTTGAGAGAAAACTATTTTTCCTAATTTTTATTTAATATCAATCCGAAAATTTGTTAATATTATTTATCAATTAGATGAATGGGAGGTTTTGGCATGCTTAAGGGATGGAATTAGCAAAATGTGAAAGTCAAAATTTTGAGAATTATAGTAAATCCGAAAATGAAAATAATAATTATATTTTTTAAAATAAAATTAAAATGTTAGAGATTTAAATGTAAGTAATAGAAATTGAAAAATCGTTTTCCCTTAGGTTGGAATAAGGGAAAGGAGGTGACGACTTAAGCGGGAAATTTTCAAAGCAAGGCTTCTTAAATGTAAGTGACTCTACTTGCTAGGGAAAGTGTTCATTTCGTTATATATATATTGCTTTATGTTATTGGTTGCAAAGAAGATAGAAAAATTAATGTTCAAAGTTCTTTTATCATGTTCATGTTCAATGGTTACTTAGTGGTTTGACTTTGAGCAAAAGTTTTTTAGCATATCATATGAAATCATGAGCATGAACATCTTCTTATCATTTTCATGCTTAACCATACTTATGATATATGAATATATGAAATGCATAGCTTGTGATTATTAATGACGGAGTACCAAGATGTGGCTCTTTGAGCAAAGACGATATTTGAGGCAATATGGAACGAAATGAAAATATTATGGCCATGAATGATGTGTACCTGATCAGTACAATTCGGTACTCCGGGACGGATGTATACAATATGAATAGAAAGATAAACATATGCAAGTATATCTCATGTTATCTCATGTTAAGAAATCATATTTCATGTTATCTCATATTAGATAAGCATAACTCATATCATGTTCAATATATAGTGAACTAATACATGCTTCAAGATATACCTTAAGACGTCTATTAGCACATGTGTAGGTTATTAATCCGCAAGTTCTTTTCTTTTAAATGTACACGAACTTTAGCTGTAGTTGTCACATACTGAGCGTAGCTCACTCCCTAGTTTTGAGAAATTTTCAGGAGAACCCTCTCATAAGTGATGGCGGATCACCCGAGGTTTACTTATAGTCGTCGCGCAACGGGTGACAGGTTCTTTTATTGTTTTCTTTAGTTGTAGTTCTTTACTTTATTTTTGGATGGCATGTAGAGCATGATTAGATATAAGTTGTCATCTTGTAAATTATGAACAACCTGTGGAATGGAACTAAAATGTTTAAAAGGCGCTTTTTGTTCTTGAAGATTATTTAGAAAAATTTTTGTTTACATGAAAGATGAATAGTGTTTGATCAGAACGTCCGATTTCGTTCCCGCCTCGTTCGTACGAGCTAACCGGGCCGGATCGTGACAGGTCAGATGAGCTAAGTGTCCAAATAGGTAAATGATTATGAAATAGAAACTAATCTATCAAGTGTGTATGACGCTCCAGATCAAGATCCCATACTTTCATCGTTCTGGGTTCACCGTTGCCCTTAGCGCTCAAATTTAAGTTGAGTTATATCAAATATTAGTATTAATTTTTCATCATTTGGGAGCTTCTCAATAAAATATTAAGAGAGAGCATCTTCTTGCACATTATTTCAAATAACCTAAATTTGTTTAGTAAAACATTTTTTGAAGTAAAAATTTAAAAGTTGGAATATTTAAAACTAAGAAAGCCTAAGATTGGTTGAACAAAGACCCATGGTACATGTCTACAAGATCTAGTGAATATGTGAAATTATAACTTGTCAATGAATAGTATTGGAAGATTGAGTGGTAAAAACTAATAAATTTAAGTACATTAGATGTACTAAATTAAAAAAAATAGAAATAAACATGTGGAGAACTTCTAGCATTAAAACTAGGTGGGTATAGTAGAGACTCGTCTTTAAAATATTGTGTGGATTAAAGATTTTATGTAGATTTAAAAGAAATTTTTTAATAATTGTAACTAAACTAGCAAAGCTATATTTGATTTTGGCGATGAAGACAAATACATTACTAATGTACAAATAGAGCACCATAAAATCACAAATTTGGGGTAAAACTTTGAAGAATAGAGTTGGAAATCATTATAACAGAAATAGACATCAACTATCAAATTATTTGAAAAGAAATAAAAATTTCTATCAGAAAAATAGGTCATTTGATCTCTAACTCAACAGCCTATTTGAACAAGGGTGAAGGACTTCAATAAAAAAAAATTACCTCTAACTCATACACATTACCACTGGCATTCTATGCAATGCTTTCATACAATAAAGAATATACTGAAGATAATAACTCTTGGCCATCATCTGGAGAAGTTAGCTTTACCCCACCCACATGAGCTTCCATAACACAAAATCAATTGGAACTTAAGATGACCATGTATAATAGGATAACATATATGATTAATCTACCCAACTTCCAATAACAGTGTCACTCTAGAATTTATCAGAAGCCAAACTATCTAATTTCTAAAACTAAAATCCAAAGGTAAATTAAAAATAATAATAATAACAATAATATGATGGAAGCATAGACAATGATACCTGATTCAATGTTAAAGTTCCAGTTTTATCGTTGCAGATGGTAGTGGTAGATCCAATCGTTTCACAAGCTGATAGCCTTCGAAACTGTAACGTAGCAACTTACTAATAGTTGAACGTATGGATTCTAGTTTGATAAGAAGAGAAGCATATCAATGCTTTGCTTCCATCATCTTCTTCATTGAGTAGGCAAGACTGAAATTGGGAAAAGCAATTAACCATAAGAATCAGGAAGAACTTGACGTCATATCATCAAGAAAGGAAAACAATCAACACTTATGTCAATGTACCAACCAATGGAAGACCTTCAGGTACAGCAACAACCATTTATAATTCACAGGTTAATTAGTAACTAGATAACAAAATCCAAATCTTTCATATGGATACATATTGCTATAGTCAAAATCTTAACAGCTCCATCTACAGCATCTTTCACACTTGTATGCCCCTTGACAAATTGAACACTTCCATCAAAATTCTTTGTATGACCAGTGAAAAATCTATAAATTATATCTCAAGTCTTCAGTTTGCAAGATCTAAAATTGAACATGTAAATTATATCTTGGGTTCATGTTGTCCTTATGCTTATAAGGATAACAAGAACCAACGCAGCAATAGAGAGCCCTACTATGCCAGTTAAACCAGCAACACCATTCAAGCACACCTTTTCAGAGGAATCATAAATGAATCACATAGGAAAATTGGTATAATCATAAGCAAATCAATAATAAAATGGGCCACAAAAAACCTATAATGTAGTTTGTTCACCACTGCCTTCCGATATACTGGCCATCAATAATCCCCATTTAGTATTGATCCCCACAGAAATCACCTGCACACAGAATAATTTAGAAGAGACACATAAGCAAGCAAAAATAATAACATAAAAAATACATTAAGAATCAATACAGGTAATATAACTTCCAAGGCATAATTACATCTAACTTTGCTTTATGTAACTCTGAGTGAGAGTAAGGGAGAAAAACCAGAAGCAACCATGCCCCTAGAAAATGAAATCAGCATTCAACTCCATTACTATTATCATCGTTATACTAATAGGGATATCCAACTAAGTAGCACTCAGATAATGCTAACAATGAGCCCTTCTAGAACTACCTGCTTCTCATTTGAAATAAATGTCCTAGTTCAAGTAAATCTGAGATACCAACCACTAATTCTTATAAATTTATTGCAAAAAATTTGCAGTTATGGCTCCTTAAAATAATGGCAAGTTCCTAGCATGCTTATAAACAAATTGGCTAAAAACTACTTGTGGTTTATCCAGAACATTTTGTTCCAATCACAAAGCTAGTTTAAAATATTCATCAATCATCTCCTGCAACAAGCAATAATAATACTATAGATGTTTGATAATCCCCACACTGTTATTCTACAAGATACAAAAGAAAATAACTCACAATCATAATCCCATAATCGTCAGCAACTTTGCACCTAGGCATCAAAAATAGTGTTTTGAGATCCTTATGCGCCTGCAAGAAAGAATTGAAACAATCTTGTTAGTCTAAATGATAAGAAATATACAAAAACAACATCAATATCAAGCCCTTATCCCACTGTTGGCTCAGTTGCATGAGACCTTTTTCTTCATTGTGTTCTATTAAGAGTCATTCTCATTTAAATATAATAAAAAAATCATTTCTAATAATTTCTAAACAATTCATTTTATGTCTTGGTCTACATTTCTTAACATAAGCCGGATCTAATACATTTTACTTTTCTAACCAAGTCAACGAAGTGTCGATGCTTTATGTCACCAAACCATCTAGGACGACACTCTCTAATTCACATTAAATATCTCTAAGCAGACCTTGCATTCATAGAACCTCTATAATTAAAACATTCATTTTTTTCACAAGGTACAGATATTCTTTAAATTGCATATAAACATATCAAAGGCACAAGTTCAATCAAGATCATACCTACGTCAAGTTGCATCTAATGAAAATTGTATTAAAGCATGCATAAAAAGGATGACTATCAATTAACTTTTCATAGAAAATAAATCTCAAATCTTCAGTCGCCTATCAAAAATGGCATAAATACTATCAAAGAACAAAAGATGATGATGATTGGTCCAATTTTATAAGAGAAATAGGGAAGTTCCACCCCCCATGCCTGCCACCCCTAATGGTGGGGGTCAACTAGCTTGATTAAGAGGAAATTAAGTTGAATTTAGTAGGGAAAATTCAAATAGAAAGGGGCTATTTTGGGATTTGACCTAATTTTGTATGCTTAAGTATATTTGGAAGTTAAAGTTAGGTTTTTTATCTCTGTTTTGCTATAATTTCCGGGTTCTTGATTTTGCTTAGGCTCTAGCGACGTCCAGAGATTTAGGAAGGGGTGTAAATGAGTCGAGTCGATTCGAGTAGTGGCCTTATCGATCTCAGCTTGTCAATTAGAAAATCAACTCAAACTCGAGCTCAAGCTCGAGTTGAGCTCCAAAGGCGAGCTCTAGCTCGGCTCGTCCCACTGTAAAAGACCTCGAGGTAACTCACGAGCCTACGATGATTTTCATGATCCAGTCGTCATTCGCGCCAAGTCCGGTTCTTCCGCTGCCTAGTCGTCTTCCGCGTGCGGTCTGCAAACTCCAACACGCACGTCTGCCTCCACCTCATGCAACCTTTTAAGCATCGCGCATTGCGTAGTTGGCCTTGAATCTCGAATTCGAGATTTAGGCGAGATTTAAGAAAAAAAAGAATTTATTATTAATTTTTAATAATATTCAAATTTAATAAATAGAATAAAAATTATTTTAAAAAATATTAATAGTGATTCAAGGCATCTATCGAGCCAAGTCTCATCAAGCTCGAACTCGAACTCGTTTAATAAACAAGCTCAAGTTTGAGCTCGAGCTCGAGTCGACTAACGAGTCGAGGCTAGGCTCACTTACACCCCTATATTTGGGAGAGCTGAATCTTCCTCTCCAATAGAAGATCCTTTGTATATTGTTGTGTTCCTTCATCCATTATCAATTAAAAAAGTTTGAAGTTTTCCATCCAAGTTCTTCTCAAGTTCTATTTTGCAAAATGCTGAAATTAAATTTTAGCAAGGGAGACTATGGTTTCCTATAAGTGTATCCTAAAAAATTGGTATTAGAAATAGAGATTTGGTTGTCACCGATTAGTGTTCAACGTTATCGCTACCCTCATATTCAAAAGGACAAGATAGAGAAGCTGATCCGAGAGGAGTTGGAGGCTTCAAGAAGAAGGACGGGAGCTGGAGATTCTGTGTTGATTACCGAGCTCTAAATAAGAAGACTGTGCCGGACAAGTTTCTCATACAAGTGATTGATGAGCTACTGGATTAGTTGTGTGGAGCAATGGTGTTCACCAAGGTGGATCTGAAGTCGAGATACCATCAAATCAGGATAATGGAGGAGGATGTCCCGAAGATTGCTTTTAAGACACATGAGGGGCATTAAGAGTTCTTAGTTATTCCATTCAGGCTCACAAACGCCCTTGCCACTTTCCAGTCGCACATAAATAGGGTGTTCAAACCATATCTCCGGAAGTTTGCACTGGTTTTCTTTGATGACATCCCGGTGTGCAACAAGTTAATAGAAGAGCACTTAGAGCATGTGATGCTGGTCTTGGAAGTATTATAGGAGCATCAGCTAAGGGGGCCAACTGGAAAAAGTGTTGCTTGCACAGACCAGTTTGGAATACTTGGGGCACGTGATTTCTCAGGAAAGGGGCGGCTGTAGATCAGGCCAAGATTGAGGCAATGCAGAAATAGCCTCTACCTAGGAATCTAAGAGAGCTGAGAAGATTTCTAGGTTTGACGGGGTACTTGTAAAACCCCGAAAATCCTATTTTAGTGCATTGCAGGCTTTTTAAAGCGCCGCGACGAATTTTTAAGTAAAATTTTCAAGGTTATCGGAATGCAACGAAATTAATTTTAGAAAATCCTACGCGAAATTCTGATCGTTTTGGTATATAGAAGTTATACCTAATTTTACCTAATTAGAGAGTTATTAATCTTAGAAGTCACTAAATACCGGTTTTACCCCTATACTAATAATAGGCAAAATTTGTTTAAGTAAGGGTAATATGGTCTTTTAGCAAATCCCTTTTTCCCTAAATAAGCAACCGGTCCTCTCCCGGTCCCATTTCACGCGTGACCGAACGAAGAGGGGCGGAACCGAGCGGTTAGGCGCGGACGGCGGGTTCGGCGAGGGCGCTCCGGCGGCGATCTTCCGGCGAGAAATTTAGGTCGAATCGAAGAGGGCGACGAGAGGATTACTCCGGTATGTTTATTCGACTGTATTGTAAATTTTATTGAAAAAGAAAGAATTAAGGGAATAGTAACCTTTCATGTTTGCATGTTGATCCGGATGTACCCAAATGGTAAAGGAGCTCTTACGAGCATTGGTAAAGGAATGTTCTTATGAACCTATGGTAAAGGAAAGTTCTTATGAACTTATGGTAAAGGAATTTGGCCACTATTTGACTGCGTACCTGATCAGTACGAAATGGGGTACATTCGGGACGGGTGATTCATTAAGCATACATAATCTGCACTTTGCATTTCATATGAATAAGATTAAGAAAAGAAAGGAAAGGAAATGTTTATGTAAAAGAGAATGTTATTGCTTTAAGACATGTTTAAAGAATCAGTTTCTAATTAAAATAGTTTTATTTCAGCAATTTATAAAGTTAATTGTATTATGAACTACCTGCTGGGCTTTAGCTCATTCCTCGTTTTGGAAATCTTTTTCAGGAGAAAAGCAATGGCTGCATGACGACCTTACATGTATCGTCGTAGGGGACCTCAGGATGAAAGGTTCCATTTATTTTATGTTTTAAGTCTAAGGTTTGAGTTAGTATCTGAGTATGAACAGTATGTAGAGTTTATGTAATGTTGACTCAAAAGTTTTTATTGGTATTGAGATAATCTGAACTGTTTGGGACTATCTGTATTTGATGTTGTTTTAGTGGCTCTTTCTTATTTATGGATGATATTTATGTACTGATGTTATTTATCTAATGAATTTGATTTATGTTTTTAATGCTCTTCCGTACGATGTCTGTTCCCGCCCCGATATTATTGGGCTAGCCGGGCCGGGTCGTGACAGTACTACCGGAGATTCAAGAGTGGATACAATATCATAGCCTAGCCGCTGACAAAATAGCTAAAGAAGGACAGCATCTTGTGGGGAGAGGCAACTACACGAGCCCTTAAGAGACTAAAGAAGGCAATGATCAAAATTTTAGTTTTGGCCCTACCAGATTTTAGTTAGATTTTTGTGGTAGAGATGGATGCATCATGATATGTGTTGAGGGTCGTGCTCATGCAGAATCACAGACCCATAGCCTACTTCAGCCAGGTATTGACAGCCAAAGTTAGGTTGAAGTCAGTCTATGAGATGGAATTGATGGCCATTGTGTTAGCCATTAAGAAGTGGCGACCATACTTCTTAGGTGTGCATTTCATTGTCAGGACGGACCAAAGGAGCTTAAAGTTCCTTTTGAAGCAGAGTATGGTGACTGAAGAGCATTAAAGATTGTTGTCAAAGCTATTAGCCTATGATTTTGGGATTCATTATTAGTCAAGATTTGAGAATAAGGCGGCGAATACCCTATCCAGATGCATCGGGGAGCTCTAGGAGTTGGCTTTGTCGATACCACTGATACGAGATTGGGGGGTGATCAAAGAGGAAAGTATGCAGGATGAGTTGGGAAAAATTAGAGCAAATCTTTTGAAGGATGAAAACAGTCACCCAGGCTACTCTTTAGAGGGGGAGAGACTGTTGTACTATGGGAGGTTTGTGATACCACTAACCTCAGTTCATATCCTACAGCTACTGCAAGAGTTCCGCGGGAGCGCGTTGGGAGGTCATTCTGGTGTACTAAAGACATACAGGAGACTAGCAGCGGAGCTGTATTGGAAAGGGATGCACAAGGATGTGGAAGAGATGGTGGCTAGATGTGAGGTATGCTAGCAGAACAAGTAGATGGCTATGCCTTTAGGGGGTTATTTTAACCCCTAGAACTACCTGACAGGGTGTGGGAGGAGGTCACCATGGACTTTATTGATGGGTTACCTCGATTGAAAGGGTTTACTGTGATTATGGTGGAACTTCATAGATTGAGCAAGTACACTAACTTCATCCCCCTATGACATCCTTAAATGACAGTGACAGCAGCAAAAGCATTCATCAGGGAGATAGTTAGGCTAAATGGGATACCATAGTCTATAGTATCTAACAAAGATAAGGTGTTCCTCAATTATTTTTGGAGGGAGACGTTTAGGCTATAGAGGATAGTGCTGAAGAGGAGGACCGCTTATCACCCCCAGACAGACGGGAAAAGTAAACAGGGGCTTGTAGACATACCTGTGATGTTTTGCTTCAGAAACACCTAGAGTATGGGCCAAGTGGCTAGCGTGCATAGAATACTAGTACAATACTTCATACCACTCAACCTCCCAGATGACTCCTTTTAAGTTGATGTATGGGAGAGACTCTCCACA